GTGGAGGGGGAGCGAGGGCGGCTGAGTCAGCTGGCCCTGGTGGGCGCTGGGCACGGCCTGGCACGGCTGCCCCCCGGCTCTGCCTTTCAGTATTGTGACGCAGGGAGAAAGGTCCCTTGTGTGGTGCACAAAACCAGCCTGTGGCGCTGCCCTGGGCTCCGGGCCGATCCTTCTCACCGATTGCCGGCGGGTCTCCCCTCTGCCCCCAGCCATGGGGCTGGGTAGCCTGAAGCCAATGGGCCAGCAGGGCCCCTGACTGTCGCTGCTGGCCATGGGCTGTCGAACACATGGGGATCAGGGCTGGGTCAGCCAGGCACCGAGCCGGGACTCGGGGCCTGAGCCACCCGGTGCCCCGCCCGACCCAGCCCTGCCATGGAGCTGAGCTCCTGGGGCCCGCTGGGAGCTCCCGTCTCCGCAGGCACCTGACGCCGGCCGGTCTTGCCCTTCCCACTGCCCAGGAACCGCGAGCGAGCCGGCCCTGGGAGCCCCTGCACCGCGCCCCCGCCGCCGCCATGGGCAACATCTTCGGGAACCTGCTGAAGAGCCTGATCGGCAAGAAGGAGATGCGCATCCTGATGGTGGGGCTGGACGCGGCCGGGAAGACCACCATCCTCTACAAGCTGAAGTTGGGCGAGATCGTCACCACCATCCCCACCATTGGTAGGGCCGGGAGCCGGGCCGCGGCCCCTGGGGGCTCCCATCAGCCGGCCCGGCCATGGGGACGGGGACTCCCATGTCACGGGCGTGGTCCTGTGAGCACACAGCCCCATGTGCTGGCCTGGGGGGGCAGGAGGAAAGGACCAGCTGACCCATAACGGGCCTGGGCCCTGGCTGGTGTCTAGCATTGTTTGGCTCCCCATAGACCATTTCATCAGGACTCCTAGGTTCTCTCCCTGGCTCTGGGAGGGGAGTGGGGTCTAGTGGGTAGAGCGGGGGGGCTGGGAGCCAGGACTCCTGGGTTCTCTCCCTGGCTCTGGGAAGGGAGTGGGGTCTAGTGGGTAAAGCGGGGGGGGATGGGAGCAAGGACTCCTGGGTTCTCTCCCTGGCTCTGAGAGGGGAGTGGGGGCTGGTGGTTAGTGTGTGTGTGGGGGGGGGGCCAGGGGGCCTGGGGTCTCTCCCCGGTCTGGGAGGGGAGTGGGGTCTAGTGGTTAGAGGGGAGGAGTTGGGAGTTACAACGCCTGGGTTCTTTGCCCAGCTTTGCTGCCGTCTGAACTTGGAGGCAAGCTGCTGACCTCTGTGCCTCAATTTCCCCATCTGAACCTGCACCGCCCTGCCCCCCTCCCTCCCTCAGTTTCTTTGCCCATTGAGAAGCTCCTGTGTGAGATGAGTTTGCTGGGTCTCAGTCCAGTGCCTGGACACCCTGCGGAAGTGCCCGAGGCAAAGAGGGTTGAGCCCCCACTGGGGGCAGGGCAGGGCTGGCTGCCCCCCCACGACTGTGGCTAACCCCCCTGCCCCCCTTTGCAGGGTTCAATGTGGAGACTGTCGAGTACAAGAACATCAGCTTCACTGTGTGGGACGTGGGCGGCCAGGACAAGATCCGGCCCCTGTGGCGGCACTACTTCCAGAACACCCAGGGTACGGTGGGCAGAGCCCCCCCTCTCCTGTGGGGCCTTCCCTCCCCCCAGCGATAGTCTAGGGCTGGCTGAGTATATGTGGGGGGAGGGAGGGTTAGAAGGTTTCTCCTGCTCCCAGGGTGGCCAGATCACAACACTCAAATATCGGGACACAAATATCGGTGTTGTCAGCCCCGCCCACAGTCCACCCCTGCTCCTCCCAGGCTCCGCCTCCACTCTGCCCCAGGTCCCGCCCCCTCCCCGCTTATGCCCCCCCTCCCGCCCCCACTGCACCCTTCCTCATCCCCTGGCCCCCTGCTGGCTTGCTGCGTCCCTCCTCAGTCCCCCACCCACTGCTCGCCCACCCGCCCGTCACTCGCCTCTTCACCCCCCCGCCTGCCACTCACGCGTACTGTGCCGATTTCCCCTCTGCTGGGTGGGTGCTCACCCACCCCCCGCCTCTTCCCGCTCAAGCATCCGCCCTCGCTCCGCCCCCATTCCACCCCCTTCCCCCAAGTCCCCGCCCCTGCCCTGCCTCCTCCCCTGAGTGCCCCGCGTTCGTGTTCCCACTC